GCAAGACATGGATAACCAGCTTCCCCCAAGGGAAAACGTTAATAGACATCTGTGGTGGATGGGTGGGTGCCCTTTTTTTTTTTTTTTTTTTGGTAATAACTCGAGCAGTGCAGAAATTGTATCAGTTAAGAAAAACTGGGCATTTCTATTTTGCATCAGGACTGGGTCAGAAATGGATCGTGAATTCCGGTACCTCCACGGATTCCTTCTGCAGGCACACCTTTAAAATGTTTTGTCTGTTCTTTGCATACTGGGTGGTTCTGATAGATTTAAGACAGTGTGTCACATAAACCCACAGTTCCTTTTATCCCTGTTAAATGTGATTCTGATTCGGGGAAGAGAGGATCTTTATTTTGTTCTTCAGAGTAACTCTATAATCTCTTCAGCAGTAAAACCTCATTAATTCTTTTGCAGATAATCCTCAAATAGTAATTCACTTTGGTTTTACTTCACAACAAAAATGACTATTGGAGTGCAAACAACTACAGTTTGTTCCATTTAGGCCTATAGTATAAAATCAGAATTCAAATGTATAGGTACTCGGGACTTGTTTTGAAAAAAAAATCTTTTAAAATCTCATCAGTAAAAATACAATGGTGGCAAATATTTTTAAAAGTGCCATTTGCAGAATTTATTGTTTGTTAACAACTGGACAGAAATACAAAGCTGAGAAGTTTTAGGTAGGTAGTACTAGAAGCAAAGCACCGAAGAAAACTACAGCCGAGGTTGAAAAATCAGAAGAAAAAAATAATCAGGAGAAAGAGTAGTGCTCAATTCCTGCCTGGAGTTATTAGAGGACTCACTATGAGGGGGAAGGGTTCAGTAAACATGCTTGAGGAAAAGACAGGTGGGGTGGTCACGTCGTGAGTCCTTCTGCGTTTGCCCAGGAGTCACGGGGGGCATCACACAGCAGCTGTTCTTAAGGCTGACATTTTTAAGTCAGAGCCTTGGACAGTGTGAGTCGCTGCCCTTTGAAGGAGTCAGCCAAGGAACCGCTGTAGATCTTTGCACCTGGTTTATTGATAGTTCTTGGAAAACTCAAGAGGTTCCAGAGTACTCAGGAGAGTGTATAGCTACTTTCTGAAAAATAAATGGGATGACCTGTGTAAATGTAGGCTTGTCAGTCTGATGTTGGCCCTGAGTGAAATAAGGGAGTTATTGAGGTGGATGAATTTAATACATGTAAAAGATGGTAATTAGCGACCATCAGTCTTGGCTTGCGGAAAGTAAGGATTATCATGTTAACTAAGTATCTCTCACATAGCTGAAAGTCTGTGTAATAAAACAGAGTTAAAATAAATACAGCTGTGTAATTCATTTAACTTTTGACTTGCATAACATCTTTATCCATCATTAAATGGATAGAAATTTACAGTTACACTTCATATAATTGTAAATGGAGAATAAGCATTAGTGAGTTCCATTTTAATGAGATTGCCTTTGGTAAGGTTTTGGTCTTGTTTTATTTAACGGTTTTGCTGGTGGCATCGAGCTCTGTCTGTGGGGTCAGGGTAGATGGAGTTCCCTCCTCCTCGGTGCAGAGACATCCCAGCTGCTCCCGGAGCAGCTGAGCTAGGGAAGATGTGTGGCAGGGAGGAAAAGGCATCGTCACGGGCCAAGTCATCAGTCACCATTTGTCAGGAATCTCTAGACAGCATTAAGTTGTTTCCGTTAATATTCGCTAAAATACTGGCGGGAGGGGATTGCTGTATCGTCAGAGGAGGGGTGATGTGAAACAGATTGGAGCACACAGGTGTTTCAGCTAAACTATGTGCCTTTTTTACAACTACATGTAAAGTTGTGTTCTAAGGCTGAAGGATGTATCCTAGAAATTGTTTTATATACATATAAAAGGAGGATTAATGGATGTGCTGATTATTTGAGACACCAGTTAATTACATAAAATCCAGGCAATTTCCCTTATCTGTGTGGCCTGCTGCTCACGAGCGTTGGGGGTTGCAGCTGGGCCTGCAGCGCTTGCATGAGGCGGTGGCTTCATCCATGGGCACGTTGCAGCGGAGGCCGGGACGGTGCGGGCAGGGAGTCACTGCTGTGTGGTGCTTCCCGCCGCCATCCTCGCCTGTACCAGGGTGGCAACTTCCCCTGGCCGCTCTGGGAATGGGGGATGTCCTGCAGCCTGCGCAGTCCATGAAGAGTCCATTTCCCCGGCACAGCCTATCTAAATAATGAAGGATGAAGCCTGTTCTGTGCCTTCTTCCGTCATGGTATTGTGGGTGACTATTCAGGCCCTGCAGCTTCTTTTCAGGGCCCAAATCAAGCTTGTTTTTGTTGTCG